GGTTTCGGGCTTGGGGCTTAGGGTAAGTTTAAGGTTTCGGGCTTGGGGCTTAGGGTAAGTTTAGGGTTTCGGGCTTGGGGTTTAGGGCTTTAGGGCTTTAGGGCTTAGTGTGAATGTGCAGAAACCAGACGCATCCGGGTGCAATCGCCGCCACCGAGGCACAAGAGTATCTCACGTTTGCGGAAAAGGTGCCGCAGCGTGCTGTTGTGTAGTCCGTTTTAGATTGGTAGCGGAGCAGGTGTGCTCCAGGTAGTACAATCCGCTGCGCTTCTGTGCCATGGTTGGCCCTAGACCCCAGAGCATGTACCAGCAGCAAGACTCCTGGCGTGCTCCCGGCGGCGAGCCTGCGCCGGACTACTTTCCTCCTGACTCAGCAGAGCTGCCGACACCTTTTGCCCAGGACGCTGGGCCTTCTTCTTCTCCGACGACTACAAGCAACGATCAGGCCCAGCCTGATCCTTGGGCCGAATATCTGTCTGCCCCGACTAACAAGTGGGGCCATTCCTCCTGGGAGTGGCGTGGGGATGGTTGGGACAGCTGGAATTGGCGGTCAGAGAGCACTCGTGCCTACAATCAACCACGTGGGGGAAACACGTGGACGAGACATGCGAGCTGGGATGGCACTTGGGGAAGTGCTTCTACGGGCTCTGGTGGCGACGGTGGCATGGAGCACAACGAGGCGAAGCAAGACGACGGCTCGGCCCCTGCAGGTGGAAAAGGCACTACAGCGGCCGGGAGGACCTCGTTGACCCCGCCGACTACGACTACGACTCCGGCGTCTACACCAGCGGCTATGTCTACATCGCGCGGAGAAGGCGGAGAAGAAGCAATGCGGGGAACAGGTCCTTCAGAACGTATGGTGGTCCCAAGCTTCAATGGTGGCACGGGCGATGACGGTGAGGAGTTGGGGACTACAGCCAGGTCGTACCTCCGTCAGGTGGCAGCCTGGCAGAAGATGACCCGTATCAGTCCATGCCGTCAAGGATTGGTACTCTACCAGAATCTTTCCGGCAAGGCCTGGATCGAGGCTGAAAGGCTGGACCTTGAGCTTTTGAGCTCCAGCAACGGCGTCAGCCACCTGGTGGAATGGATCAAGGAGAGGTATTTGGACGTCCAGGTCACCCAGGTGGGGCGTGCGCTTTCTGACTTTTTCAGGAAGTTACGTAAGAAGCCTGGACAGAGCATTCGTGACTATGTTGGTGAGTACGATCGAGCGCAAGCTCGACTCGAGGAGTGTGGATGTTCCCTGCCGAACATTGCGCAGGCCTGGGTGTTCATCGACCGGATGAATCTTGATGAGCCTTCAGAACTCAACCTACTTGCATCAGTAGGAAATGTCTATGATCTTCGCAAGCTCCAGCAAGCTGCTATTATTCAAGACAGGGCATTGCGGAAGCCTTGGGAAACTTCCAATAGTACCAAGCCCTGGGCACGCCGACAGAACCAGTCGGCGCACATGGCCGATGCCCTGGACACCGAGGAGACCCACCAGGACGAGTTCGACTTCCAGGATGGCGCTGATGATTCGATCCCGGAGCACCTGGCCGAGGAGCTCTTCACTACCTTCATGTCGCACGAGACGGCCAAGCAAAAGTACAGGGACAACCAGAAAAATCGTGGCACGGATCCCCAAGCCCTCAAGGATATTGCAGCTGAGCGTCTCAAGCAGATGAAGGCGCGCTCCTTTTGCGCGGGCTGCAAGAGGAGAGGCCACTGGCACCGTGACGAGGCCTGTCCATTGAATCAGGCGAAGAAGAACAAGGAGGACAATGGTGATGGAGATGACAACCGAGCCCCCTTAAAGTCCGCCTCCATGACATGCAATGTGGTACACGTGGCTTGGAACATGGACAAGAAGGACCTCAGCGCTGGCTTCGATGCGATCACCGATACGGCTTGCAGCAAGTCTGTTGCAGGGAACGATTGGATGGAGGAATACACCTCCCGTCTCGAGGACATCGGGGTAAAGCCGCAGCTTCTCACCAATGACGAGTACTTCAGGTTCGGTGCCTCACGGGTGTTCCACTCCACCATGGCTTGTGTCCTCACTTTCAGGCTTGGAAAGGCAGTCATCGAGGTCAAGATCGCAATCGTACAAGGGGAGTTGCCTTTGTTGCTCTCGAGGCCAGTGCTTGCCCGTTTGGGCATGGTGATGGATGTCGCCACGAATCGTGCAGATTTCAAGAAGGTTGATGCCTACGATGTTCCTCTGAAGGTGACCGAAAGCGGCCACCCTGCTTTGCCGCTGTCGACCCTGAAAGGGACGCCTACCAAGGCCACAGCCGCCTTTTGGGCCGCTGAAGAGATCAAGATCCATGCGACCGGTGCGGCATACACAGTTTTTGCAGCAGGGGTTCTCGCGGGGTTTTCCGAAGCAGCTGAGGGTTACGATGGCAATGATGATGTATCTACCAAGTCATGCCCAAAACAAACCCAGAGCATTCTAGGCATGGAATCCCTGGCTCTGAGCTCCCCTACCTCTGCAGTGCATCAGGGTGATAGCAGCGAACCTCCTAGACTACCGTCGTCTACTACGAGGCCTTGGGTTCCTACAGGTTCATCTACTACGTCGTCGTCGTCTACGTCGAGGCCCCGGCTATTCTACCCGAAGAAGATCGACAAGACTACCAAGAACATGCTCACAGGAGATTCCCTCAACGAAGCATCCTTTATGTCGTGGTGGCAAAGTACAAACATCTCCAACGACTTTTGGATTGAGACTCCCAACAGACTCTACAGAATACATGTCATCCCAAGGCGAACTTCCTTCAGTCCCCAGAAGTGGACCACTCAGCAACATGAGCGCAAACAGGCACTTCTCGAACAGCTTGGTAGGGTCCGAGAGAGTTGGGGTTTCTCCTGTAAGACTCACAAGAGCCTCACTCCAGTCCATGACTTGTGGTGTGATGAGATTGAGGAGAACTGCTATCCCGTCGTTTGGGTTGGAAGGACTTCCTTTGCTAGGCGCCCCATGCCTTTGTCAAAGAACTTTCTCGCAATTCGTGATGGCCACTCCTCAGACCGCCCCCGCGAAGCAGCTGGCGATCTCCGCGATGAAGAAGCCGGAGCTCTTGGAGGAGCTCAAGCGACACGGAGTACCAGTTCACCCGAAGTGGACAGTACCGGAACTCCGCAGCGTGCTGGGCGAGGAGAGGGCCAAGAAACAAGGGACGACCCCACAAAAGGGGCTGAGCAGCATGACCCTGGACGAGCTCCGGACTACGGCGGCGGAGCTCCACATCGACTACCCGAAGACCGCGAACAAGGGGGCGCTCATGAGGATGATCAGGGATACGATGCAGGATGTTTCCGAGCGCTTGATGACCTTCGGCCGGTACAAGGGCTACCTGTACCGAGAAGTCCCTCCCGGATATCGACGATGGGCGCGGGAGGAGGTGGCACGAAACACCAACGCCTCGAACGACCTGGTGATGTTTGCTGCTTGGTCGGAGAGGGAGCTGAACTCCCAGACCCCGGCCGCCTATCACGATCCAGAGGAGGCGGCGGTGATCCCGTACAACCCGGAGGACGAGAGCGCCTGGGACCTAGTGACGGACCCAGAGAAGGGATCATCTTCCACCTCGACAATGCCTGCCAGGACCAATGCTGTGGGCCTACCGTTGAGGGGCGGGTATGCAGCAGTGGGGCCGCCCGCCCGGCCGAATCTGATGATGCCGAAGGCCAAGAGCGTACCGAAGGCAGCGATCCCACCGCCTACTTACACCAAGCGCCGCGAAGCCCCAGAGCCGGACCAGATTGCCATGGACCTCGAGCAGAAGCGGATCGACGACCAAGTGGTGGAGGAGATCGAGGCCCTCGAGACGAGACTTGCCCTGCTCCGGGACAGGCACCGGATTCCACCCCAACACGGCAAGTGATTGACGAGACCCACGGTAGCGACTACTGTGGTGGCGACGCCTACGACGTGTACTACGAGGATTTCCTTTCTGCTGACCAGGTGGAGCTTTGGAATGCACAGGGGATCCCCGACACGAACAAGGACCTGCCTGTTGAGATTGCTGCCTCCCGCGCCCTCTACGACAAGGATTTCACCTACGAGACGATGTTAAAGGTTTCGGACCTACTTCCCGACTCGGCTGTGATCCAACTTCGTATGGGGGCGACTGGACGCCCTAACGGCAAGACGAACAGAGGCCTTGTGGGAGGTGCCTGGGCCCATGGAAACAAGGCTGGCGTGACGAACAACCTGGGCCAGTACCCCCAGCTCTTCAAGTACATCAACGCTTGGGGCCATCACCACGGCATTAAAGGCTGGACCTCTGTGATGCTGACCAAGAATGTGGCCCACCTGGTGCATGCGGACAACCACAACCTTCCAGGCTACCCCAACCACACGACCAGCTATGGCCAATTCGTTGGCGGAGAACTCTGGGCCGCCCTGGAGAACTATGAGGAATCCCATGATTATAAGGTGGTCTGGAAGCAAGACAGAAACGGCAAGGACCGCCCTGGCGAGCTCATCAACACCCGTGAGCGGATCATCGAGTTCAACCCGAAGAGGCTCCACGCCACACAGGCTTGGAGCGGTTCACGGTGGTGCCTCACCTTCTTTGCCTCCCGAGGTATCACGATGTTGGCCCGACGAGAACGCGATCTACTACAACAGCTTGGTTTTGGTCTTCCAGACCGACGGTGCACTCCCCCGCTTTTGCAGGGCGATGACAAGACGCGGACAACCAGCCGGCCGCCGAAGAGGAGTGCCCGCAAGCTTATCCAGAAGACGGCCAAGAGGCTCAGTACGCTTGCTACGTGGACCATCCTCGCTGCGATGAACTACACCGCGGCCCATGTCCCTCTACCTGGACGCGCAGAATCGGTGGCTCTGTGCGAGGTCGGAGGCACTGACAAGACCGAGGAGCTAAGCACGATGAACGAGTTCTTCGCCACCGAGCCTATCGATACCGACTTCCTGGTTGGGAACGAAGGGAGAGAACGAGCAGTCGAGGTCATCAGAGAACTCAAACCGGCGACCCTTTGGATCCACGGCGGAAACGTCGCGGATACCGGCGATATGATTGTAGAGCTTGTTGAGGAGCAGAAGAAGGCCCTGGGGAGGATTGTCATCGAAGCACCCTCCGATCACGCCTTCTGGACTTCGCCCTTGGCAGCCGTCTTCTACGACGACCCTACCGCCACAGTCTCTGAGGAGGAGAACAATAAGACCATCGAGATCAACGGTACCAGCGCGGCATGGAAACAGGCGGTGGTCACCGGGAACGAGGCAAGTATTCCGGTGTACATGGCCTCGAGCGACGAACGGCAACAAGGAGCTGGCCGACGAGATGATGTTCACCTGGGAGCTTCAGGAATCTCCTTCCCGGGAGAACCGAGAGTGAAGCCCGAAGTGAGCTCTGCCCTGAAGCGACTCCACGCCAACTTGGGGCATCCTTCACAAGCTGATCTGACCCGCCATTTACGATTAGCGGGAGCCGGACCTGAGGTGATCCAAGCCTCAAAAAGACTACAATGCGAGACGTGCCAGAGATCCAGCAAGGGTGGCATTGCACGCCCAGCCACTCTACCTACGTTGCTGGCTTTCAACCAGGTGGTGGGCGTCGACATCTTCTCAGTGACTGATGCCTTCGACGAGAGGATTGAGATGATGTCCATCTATGATCACGGCACATCTTACCACATCGCAGGACCTCTACAAGGACATAGCACCGAGGCGATGGAGCAGACGTTCTGTGAGCTATGGTCCCGTACGTTTGGAGCGCCTGGGACGATTGCACTGGACCTGGAATCTGGACTCCAAGCCGGTTTGGCACGATACAGCTCTTGGCACGGATGTCATCTTCGTCCCATTGCGGGCCAAGCCCATTGGCAACTTGGTGCTACAGAACGTCATGGTGGGGTTTGGAAAGCCATTTGGAAACGGCTTTGCGATGATCTTAGCGTTGGGGAGGGCGACATCTCCCTGGCTGTCGCTGCAGTCAATCAAGCGAAAAATGAATTGCGGCGCACTTCGGGCTATTCCCCATCACAGGCCGTATTCGGCCGTGACCCATATGTTCCCGGTGAGTTGCTCGACGAGAAGGATGGGGAACAACAAGAGCAGCTTATCAACCAAGATCTACAACGAGGCCGCGAACATGCGATCCGGATGGCCGCACGTGCTGCCTACTTCAGGGTGCAGGGTGACCAGAAGCTACGCCGGGCCCTGTTACAGCGCTCCCGTGTGACGGGCGAAGAGCTGCATCCCGGAGACTTGGTGTTCTTCTTGAGGAAACCTAAGAATTCCAAGGACTGGTCCTGGAAGGGACCTGGAACCGTGGTCGGGACCGAGCACAAGAACCTGTGGATCTCCTTCGGCGGGCGGTGTCACCTTGTCGCTCCCGAACATGTCAGACGGGCCACGAATGAGGAAACCGGGAACGCCTTCATCCTGAAAACCAACCGCGACGACCTACAGCGATTGGTGTAGTACGACCCCGACGATGTGGACATGTTCGAGGACGAGGACGACGTCGGGATACCTCAAGGTGAAGACGGACCTCTACCACCTGTACCAGAAGACGATTGGGACATCTCGAGCTTGATGTCCTATGGAGACGATATCGAGCTACCTGAGGAAAATGATGAGCGAGCCTCCGGAGCCTACGAGAGACCCGATCCTCCTGATCTACTACCAGCGGGGCCGGTTTCCAAGAGGATGCGAAAGAAGGGGCCCCAGCACGTCAACATGATGCGGCAGGCCACGACCCAACGTGGCAAGGAGAAGCAATTGGAGCGCGAGCTCCCATGGCATTGCATACCAGAATGCCAACATGCCGCCTTCAAGGCAGCAGAGCTGAAGCAGTGGAACGAGCATCTCCAACATGGTGCGATGGAACCGGTTGACGTGGAGACGAGTGCAGAGATCCTGCGATGCCGGCCCGAGCGGGTGCTGCCCAGTCGATTTGCTTACCGCGATAAGCACTGGGCTAAAAGAAAACAGGACAGCAACCTGCCCTGGAAGTGCAAGGCCCGCCTCGTTATAGGAGGCCACCGTGACCCAGATCTAGACAAAGGTCTGGCCACAAGCGCGCCTACAGTATCACGCCAGGGCGTACTACTTCTCTGCCAGATCCTCGCTTCTCGGAGGAAGCAGGGTTGGGGTGCCTCCGCCGGTGACATCACGTGTGCCTTCCTCAATGGGAACCGTTTGGAATGCGAGCTCTACATAAGACAGCCTCGTGCTGGGCTTGGCGATCTTGATCCACGACAACTTGTTCGACTGACCAAGGGCGTGTTCGGTCTCGTGGACTCACCCAACGCCTGGTGGGGAAAGCTTTACCAGTCGATCTTGGACATGAAGGTGGAGCTCAACGATGGCCGAGAGGGATTCTTCGACCAGTGCCCCCTTGACCCGTGCATCTTCCAATTCAAGATGACTGGGACTGATGGACAACCAGGAGCTCCCGAATGCTACGTAGCCGTCCATGTCGATGATTTGCTCATGGTGGGTGACAAGGCTTTGAACTCCCAGCTGAAGGCCGCCTTCTCCAAGACGTTCCCGGTCGAGGACTGGGAGGACGACGCCTTCGAGTACACGGGGTCCTTCTTCGAGGTGAATGACAGTGGGGTGTCCATCCGACAGGAGAACTACGTGGACACTAGATTGTTCGAGGTCTTTGTGAACCCTGCCGACCATGACGAGACGATTGCCACGGCCGAGCAGAAAGCCGACAACAGGAGCCTGATAGGAGCACTGTCATGGATTGCAGGGCAGACCCGCCCCGACCTACAGACTGGAGTATCGATGGCCCAACAGCTTCAGCGAGAACCTACTGTGGGGGACGTGAGGTTTACGAACCTCCTGTCCAGGAGAGCCAAGCAGTACAAGGAATGTGGAGTCCACCTGACCCCAGTGAACCTTGATACCTGCGTGCTACTTGCCTACCACGATGCGGCCTGGGCGAACGCGCCCCAGGATCCCGACGACCCCTACTACGAGCTCACGCCCGAAGAGAACGAGTACGGCACCCTCATGGACGGCCCCTTCGCCTACAAGGACCGCAAGGCCAAACGAGGAAACAGTCGGGTGGCATCCCAGCTAGGAGGAGTCTACCTCCTGGCTAACGAAGAGATCCTCCGTGGAGGAGAGTCTCCAGTGAGCCTGATCGACTGGAGGAGTTGGGCATGCGACCGAGTCTGCCGCTCGACCTTTGCGGCAGAGAGCATGTCCTGTGCCGGGGGCATTGAGAACGCTCAGTACCTACAGAGCTTCCTCGCCACTTTGCTCCAAGGATGTTTGGTCCGCCCCAAGCAGAGTACCTTGAAAGTCCGCTACCTGAGTGATTGCCGCAGCCTCTATGACCACCTACGGAGGGAGGGACTCCCGAGGGTCCCGTCAGACCGAAGGCTTGCCATCGACCTCGCCGCCATCCGGTGCGATCTCAAGCTTGGAGGCAAGCTTGTATGGCTTCCGACAGAACTACAAGTAGCAGACATCATGACGAAGCCTCTGAAACCAGAGGCGTTTTGGAGGTCTCTGAAAGTTCCTCTAAAGCTCCCTTTTATAGAGAAGGAAGAGGATTTTTGATGCGTGTGAATGTGCAGAAACCAGACGCATCCGGGTGCAATCGCCGCCACCGAGGCACAAGAGTATCTCACGTTTGCGGAAAAGGTGCCGCAGCGTGCTGTTGTGTAGTCCGTTTTAGACTTAGGGCTTGGGGCTTAGGGCTTGGTTCAGGGCTTAGGCCACCCAAAAATGGACCCAGACCCCACACCCCGAACCTCAACAACTCGTGCGATTCCGAAATTCCAGTACTGCTGAGCATCGGGGTTTAGGTTTATGGGCCATAACGGGCTAGAGCCTTTGGGCTGTTGAGTAGCCCTACACGATTTGGGCGAGGTCGGTTTGGGGACTCTTCGAAGGGAGTCGTGGGCTCTGGGTGCTGGGCTGTGGGACCACCTAGGAATCTGCCTGTGCGTAGCTAGGATGGGCTTGGGTAGGGACAAGCTTGGAGTAGGGTTTAGGTTTTATAAGGGTCTAGGATTTGGGGTTTAGGGTTAAGGATTTATAGGGTTTAGGGTTTAGGGTTTGGGCGGTAAGGTAGGGCAGGGCAGGGCAGCGTAGGGTCAGGTAGAGTAGGGCTGGGGCAGGCCCTCTTGCAGTCAAGAGGCTTCTGGCCCCAGCGCAAAGCGAGCTACTGTCGAGAAAGAGCCAAGACGTGGCGACCAAATAGGCTTTGGAGTTTGTGCTGGGTTTTTTTTGCTCAGGGTTTAGGGTTTGGAGTGTAGTCAAGTCTGGAGGGTTCGTTTAGGCTCTGCTCAAACCCGAGCGACGCAGGGCCGTGGTTTAACAAACCGACCACCAAAGGTCGCGTGAACCAGGTCGCGGGAACTGTTCATTGTCGTGTCGGTTTGGGGCCCGACGCAGTGTTTCCGACACCCTGTGAGATTCAGAGAGCAGCACCCCAACCACAGCACGCGGGAAGCTTTTGGAACAATTCTTAGCCCGCTGTCGCACTGATATTCTATGCTTATGGGGTGTTTTTGACTACCACCTCCAGTTCTGAAGAGCCATGTGCATGAAAAATCTGCTGTTACAACGTTGCTTAACAGTATCAACCTGCATCGTTTACCATTTTTTAGCGGGCAATCAATCACTATCGGTGACTCTAGCCAGAACACCCCTGTAAATGCCTGAAATCATTGGTTGTCATCATGAAACAGTTGCCCATATATTGAGTATTATTCGAATTTCTGATGAGGCATCCCTATCTTCTTTTGATTGGTGAAAAATCCAACACATGCGGTGGCACAGAGTAAGACATGACAGCACAAATTCACAATTCGCATTGAGGAGTAAGTTTTCTAGAGTCATATTCATAAAAGTTTACCATTGTTAAAAAAAACGAAGGATGTTGAAAAGTACCCGAAAGCCTTTGATGAACTGGACAAAGTTGTTAGTCTAATCGCACTGCCAAAGTACCGCAAGTGCCGTTATGAAGTCTTGAGTTGCACGAACGGTCGGAAACAATAACAAGATAAGGCCAACACTAGTTGTTGATGCAACAAATACCAGACTTGGCTCTCGCAAGCATACATCTCCGACAGCATTCTTACATCAGACAAAGCCGCAAGCTGGCAGCGTTGAAACATTCGACACGACTTGGGGGTCAAAACAGATGAGACCAGAAGAATTAGGAGTTAAACCTCAACTCAGATACCTCAACTCAGATATCTCGTGTTTGGGCTTGGGATTTGCCAAGGTTTAGGATCAAAGCCTCGAGCGCAATGCAGGCACTTTTGGATCTCTTGTTGGATCCATCTCCGCGCTCGCCCAAGGGGCATGCCAACATCTCGCGGCATCGTCGCGGAGTTCTACGGCTTGCATATATTTAAAATATCGGGAACGCATGTGTAGGATGGGCAAAAGCCCCCCTTTCAAACAGACAAACAGTTCTAGAGCATGCTAGGCTTCTCCTGAGGCGAAGTGAAGGGAAGGTCCGTCCCAGGCGACAAGATTCGGCATCAGCATCCTGTCCTACTGAATTGCTATTGCTGCTCATATGGCTACGACGACGAAGGCGAAGGCGACTACTGCTACTACTAGTACTGCCACTGTTCCCACTCGGTCTGCCGCTGGATGCGACTGCTTGCTCGTACGGTAGCTAGTGCTGATTGCTAGCGGATGCTAACATGAATACGGCACAGGAAAGAAAGTATGGTGCTATCGATACAGCCTTGACATGATAATGGAAGGCTTTCTCATGTAACGCCTCCCTGTCACTGCACGCCTCAGGCACTCCATCAGCGAGTGCTCACAGCGAGATTTCATGACGCCTCGATTCCTTGTGCTCCAACCTGCACAGGCGGCGAACTCTTCTGCAGATTCCGTCCAGGGCGCGTCTCCGTCAGTTCATAAAAAGGGCATTCTAAGGGCAATGGAATCTCAGTTTTTTCCGGAACAGTGTGGTGTACGCCACGGGTCTCTTGCACTGGGATTGATTTGATTAGTAGAAAGGCCACGCACGGCGGCAAAGCAGCAGCGGAAATGTCGAAAGTCCTGGCAAGCCACACTGTTCGGCCTCTCTGGCTCGTCCGCGTGGCGCCCAGTACATGGGAGGAACGATGTCGAGGGTGGTGACCGTTGCTTGCGGTGATGGTCTTTGTGGTGCCTGATGGCTTTGGTTGTGGCGGTGGTCCTGGTCGTCCTGGTGGTCCCCGTCGGGTCAATCTCTTCTCGGTCGTCGGGGTCATCGTGATCGTGGTGGTCGTCGTGGTCGTGTTCCGGCACTTCGGAGTGTGCAAGGTACGCGGTCGTTTAACCTCTCAAACCTCAAAACCTGTACCCTGAAAGCCCTTAGTAACCTGAGTTGGTCTAATTATGCAGGCCCCTCTATGTGAGTGGCCAGGCCAGGTGTTTTGTGGAGCGCGATGTCTTCCACAAAATCTCCACTGCAGTTTGAAGAGTGCCAACGTGATGTA